AGCCGACCCACGAAGAATCCCTCCGTTGTCGTACGGGATACGTCTCTCGGTGTCAGCGGATGGTGGGTTGTAAGCTGCCAGGAAGAGACGAATGCCTCATCCCCTCGCTTACATCAACTTTGCCTCAACGGATCGAACAGGGATACCACTCCGAAGAGCCTAGACCAGAACTCTTTTTCCCAGCGATCTAACCGAAGGGCAAACTTATGGTTCGTCAACCGCATGTCTTGTAATCGTTGACCAATCAATAAAATCCTGTCAGATCCTGAGGGATGTAATCGGCCCACGACGTCAGACAATCTCGCCGACGTTGCACTCACGGCGTCTCGGCAGGTCCATCCCGCCCACACACACAACTGTCCAGGTGGGTGACAACACTGCAGCCAGGCTAAACATCAGTTGCATTCCTCACACTGTCGCTCGCTTGGTTACAGGCTCAGTGCTTAGCAGCTTGACCACATGGGGTGAACGACAAGCTCCTCAGCCGCAACGCCGCTTCCGCGTGGAAACCCCCGCACCCGCTAGCAAATACAAAGGCTACAGGGGTGTGGGCGGGATTATTTTTGATTCAATGCTAGCTAGGAACGAAAGGTGCCGACTTCTCCACCAGGGGCCATTGGCGGAGGGTGTGAGGTTTACACGACAGTGAGCCAAGTTATTCTGAAGGATTGGGACTTCCTCTGCAGGATCACGAGCATACTCCTCCAATAAGACAGTTTGGCGAGATAAGTGACCTTGTTAACGTCACTCATACCGCCAGGCAGTTGGCCCACCTTCTATCTCGGGGTTACTCCTGATCACATCAGTTCCTGTAGACTGAATCACGTCAAGGCAGCCGCATTCATGGACGCAAGTCGAACCAAGGTAGAAGTATCATCTCGAATGCTAACTTGGTAACTTCCTGCCCATCTGCAGCTTCTGGGAAATATCGCCAACTCCTAGTGCATGAATTTTCCTGACATTTGGATCATTACAACATCAGTGGATTCGGAATAGGTCATCCTACTGAATGATTTCCCCCCATTGAACGTCATTTCCAGACGTTCTTTTTGCTCTTCCCTTTTTACAAATTGTCTTTTCAGTCTGAATCGCAGGACTATACCCTCGTCTCATGGCGATGGCGCTGTCAAAGAAAAATCCGCCCCTCCTCCCTCCGCGGAAAATACTAGTCGTTGTTACAGCTGGTGGTTCAACAAACTCGGGTAAGTCTGATGGTTACGTCATATTTTCACGGCTAATACGTTTCGTCTTAACAGCTCCCATGTTCGAAGTTTGCAAATATCTCCATGAACGAGGACACACCATCGAGTTCGCCACTTTTGCTGGCCGTGAGGGCTATGCCAACCCTTATCCGTTTGTCTCCGCCGTTCATGTAGTAGGACGTGCCATCACACCAGAGGAAGAAGACAGACTCTACATCCTCTTTAGCGAGTGGAGCTGGAGTGGCAATGGCCTTCGAAATTGGATCGAGGGCAAGAAGTTTTTCGACGCCTTCTGGTCCGAGACCTACGAAAATCTAAAGCGTGTCGTCGAGACCACACGGCCAGACTTCCTCTTTGCGGATTTCCACGTCGACGCGGCTCGGGACATGCAGAGAGAGTACAATCTCCCTCTAGCCACGATGTGGCCCCAGTGGCCGTACTTCATGTGCCCTGTGCCCTACATCCCTGGCCGCGTAGGTCTTGAGCCCCGGGTTCAGACCAGCGAGCATGCGAGCATGTGGGACCGCTTCAACCAAGACATATACTTGCTGAAGCACCCAATTGCCTTCGCCGATCTCTTCCTGACGACAAAGAGAATGCGCGCAAAGAAGGGGCTGGGTATGCTTCCTATGTTGCCTAAGCCGGATCACTTGGTGTTGGTGAACTCCTTCGTTGGCCTTGAGACGCCTAAAGAGACGCCACCTTTGCTACATGCCATCGGACCAATTTTGTCAGATGAATACGCTCCGTTGGATGCAGAGCTTTCCGAGTTCTACCAGACTCACGACAGGACCATGTTCGTCGCATTCGGCACGCATGTAATTCTCTCTCGCGAAAGGTTGCAAAGCTTAAAAGCAGGCATCATCTCTACTCTGCATGCAGGCCACGTAGATGGTGTTTTGTGGGCCATACGTGGCGCCAGCAAGGCTGCCTTTGCAGCTCTGACCGATAGTATAATTCACACCACGTCAGATGGCAGCCAGATCACTCTCGGTAGCACTGAGCTCCTCGAGAACAAGCATCCGCATCTCAAGTTTGTCGACTTTGCTCCTCAACGAGCAGTACTTGCGCACCCCTCTACTCGGCTCTTCTTCAGCCATGTTGGACCCTCGTCAGCGAACGAGAGTCTTTGGCACGGCGTTCCCATGCTCAGCATGGGAATTTACGGAGATCAGCTGCCCCGAGTTCTTGCTCTTGACTCAGCTGGGGTAGCGTTATCCGTGAAGAAGGAGACTTTCACTCCGGCGGAGATTCAAGAGAAGGTTGGAAAACTCATGCGTGATGAAGAAGGTCACTTTCAACGTAATGCGCTCCGAATGCAACGCATTGCGAATCTAGCGAGTCGCCGAAAGGTGCTCGCGGCGGATCTCATTGAGGAGTTTATGTACGATCACGAATTGAGATTCGAGATCTGTCGCGATGATGAGATTGCGAAAAAGGAGAATGGAGCAAGTGGTGTATTCAACGATCGTGGAAGGGAGCTGCGACCCATGCATCTTCAAACTGCGGATATGAGGATGAGTGCCCTTCGCGCAAGCAACCTAGATCTATGGCTGGTTGGGGCGGCGATAATTGGTGTATTCACGACAGGCATTGTCACCGTTGGGCCACAAGCGGTCTCAAGCATCTATGATTTGGCGTGTGGTCTTCTGGAGAAATTCTTGTAGCGTCTGTATTGATCAGTAAGCTCATTGAATATCTCGAATCAGGATGCGCCGCAGCTATGGGTTAAATCTGCCTGTTCAAGTCCCCACCCAAATGGCAATTATGGTTCGAGAACTGACGGAGAACGAGTGAACACGATGCATTCTGAACTGTGATACGGATAAACTTTGAAGATGGGTCGAAACCCGAGAGAAAAGTTTTAACGAGACTAGACCCAGTTGTACGTGAGAGCTACTTGACAAGTCTGCATGTAAAGCGCGTGACGGACCGCTGGAGGAAGCCTTGTATTCCTCAACAGTCTTGGTCATTCCTATTAATACGTCAGATGGCGCTGGCACTGCCTGGTCCGAGGCACTAAGGATTGTCCTTGCAGGGCATATAAGCCAACTCAGGTCCCCGCAGAACCGGTAAGAAGTCACAGTAGTTGATTGTCGCCACATAGAATTGAAGTCCTCATGTCAGCCGACGCATGACCAGAGCTGGGCCGTCCACACTGCCCTCCGTGAACCAACCTACTGTTGCGGCGTCATCCTTCATCATTCCCGATCAATGGAGCCAACATCCATCCTCAAGTCTGCGCCGTTCCATTTACCCCGCCAATATGGTTCGACGCCATTCAGCTTCGGCATCATTGGAGGCGGTTGGTATGGCTGTCACATTGCAACCTCCCTTCGCGCCCTCGGATTCAGGGTAAAGTTGTTTGAGCAGCACGATCGTCTCTTACACGAGGCTTCAGGCAACAACCAATTTCGCCTCCACATGGGCTTCCACTATCCCCGACATAGCGAAACGCGCATCCAATCTCGAGATGGCTTCTTACGCTTCATCGAGCGCTACCCGGATCTTAGCCGTAGCGTTCCGAACAACATCTACGCGGTCCCCACCCATGATTCACTTCTCGACTATGGCACATATCGAACCATCATGGCTTCGAGCGGCGTCCACTTCACAGAGGCCCTGCCGACTAGTTTTGAGCTCACCAATGTCTCTGGGATCATGTGCACCTCTGAGCGCGTGCTTCTCCTTACGAAAGCTCGCGCCTACTTCGAGGCGGAGTTGAAAGACGTGCTAGAACTGGGCCATCGCATACGTCGAGTTGATGATACAGGAGACGCTGTATATGTTGACGACGAGTGCTTCGACTTTGCCATCGATGCCACCTGGGGCCACTACAGCAAACCCGACATCCCCGTTCTCTATGAGCCTACGTTGTTACTCTACTACGAAGGCCCGCAAGACTTTCCAGCTCTAACACTGGTTGACGGGCCGCTATGCTCAATTTATCCCACCGAAGCTCCTGGACTTTTTACGTTATCCAGTGTTCCCCATACGCCTCTGGGCCAATTCGCGACGGCGGAAGAAGCACACGCTGTTCGCGATGGTATATGCAGCGAGGTCATCACGGAGAAACGATTTCTCATGGAAGAGCAAATTGAGAAATACCTCCCGTCATTCTCCCAGCTTTTCCGATACGTCGGCCCACAACTTGCCATCAAGACTAAGGCTGTCGGGGCGCATGACGACCGCACATGTACAGTTTCACGACATGGCCGCATGTTTTCTGTAATGTCGGGTAAGATCGATACAGTCTTCTTCGCAGCCGAGAGGATTCTATCGTTGATAGAAGTAGCTCAAGCTTCATCTGTCAAGGACACATTGTCTTCTTTGAGGGAGGACATTGTGACGGTTAACACAAGAACCCATTTGAATGACACAGGGAGGAGGTTCAGAGGCGACGAGATATTTGGGCACAGCCAGCTGTGAGCTCTGAGGGATGTGATGTGTAATTGTTTGCTTCACAGACTGACGAGTGTTATTATTCACCAAGATGTTTGAAACACGGAGCTCCTTTGTCCTAGATTAGGACTTGCGTTAGTTGAGATGGTGGTTCATGATTATCATGTTTTATGCAGAAGCTAGCACCTGAAGTCAAGATTGAAAGGATTTAGAAGCGAAGGAGATGATTTCCGCACAACCACAAGTTTCAACAGCCCGTGTTTCATTGAAGTACATATGAATGGCACTCCGGCCTCCTACCAGCGGGCAACCAGACATGCTTGTAAGCTGACACTGACCATACTTCCGTCCCCGCTCGCCACTCTCGCTTTTGAGTTCAAGACACCTTGGCCCCATTCATTGCGATGATTGGGCTGTCTCGGAGTGAAGCGGCTTTTGTCCATAAACAACGTGACTATGATAATCAATTAGCAAAGACTTGATCACCAACGGCGAGGCAAAACTTACATGTCGTACAACCCATGATAGGCGCGGGTTTGCATCTCCTTGCGTACTTTGGCGACTTCAACGAGAACTTCCTCCCTTGTTCGCCCAAGAACGCCGCAAAATACCCTTAGAGTGAACCCCTCGAGGCCTTCTAACATCTGTGCTAGGTTGAGAGTTCCGAGGTCCTTGTAGTATGGGTCTTTAGGCCAGGGACCAAGAGGATTCTTATACACTTCATGGAAAACATTTTCAAATCCCTGATTTCTCACCCAATTCTCCACTTTAGGTCCTGGGCATGGGTCGCGGCCGATGCTATTCATAGTTTGAAGGAAGGCTTGATTCCATGGCCAGGTTGCGTGATTCTTCGTATACGTCCCATCCTGAGAGTAGATCTCAGGGTCCATCTCATGGAACTCCGCCCAGCCTCCGGGGTTCAGATTGCTGTAAGCTGGTTAGATAATTACAGAAGACCTGACACAATCTCGTTGATGTACTTGTAGATGTTTTCAATAAGCTTTGGCCAATCGGCAATGGAAGCAGCCATGAAGCGGCAAAAAATGTAATCGAACTTCTCATCTTGAATCCAAGGGCTCTCGACGTCGTCGATTTTGAACTTGACGTTAGGAGGTACCCTATCACAATTATCAGCCAATACTCAATGACCAATGGCCGCTTTTTGTGATACGCACCACTCGGACTGAATGGCGCTCAAATCAGTCCCGATGACTTCGGCATTATCGAAGATATCCCCCATCTCCACGGCCCCTAGAAAACGTAATCAGTGTTGAGAACAAATAGAACGGAACGGATGATGAAGATACAAATGCCAGTGCCTGTGCCTATGTCAAGGATCCGATGAATCTTTTCCTTCTCAAGTGGGGCAAGGAAAAGTCGACTGCCAATCGCCTTGACCATCATGGCGTGCGCCATATCCAGCCGTTCAATTTCGATTTCATCGTTGGGCAGGATGTATGCTGATTAGAGGCGCAAGTAAGTATTTTACACTACGGCATTGTTGAAACTGATACAAACTTACAGCCTGGACGGTACGCATGATATCGCCGGCCATATTCCATAGGATAATCGACAACACTGGATGAAAGGGATGCTGTATAGCGGGATCTATCAAGAGTCTCATTAGCGCACTACTGCCGAGCTGGGCGCATGCTCTGCGTTCTGTAGAATAATATCGTACAATCGCTCCTGGATACTCGCTGCATCGGTCTATGGTGAAGGTGTCAGTTCAAGCCGCAAACGTGTGGTGCGATGGATGCGTTGACGTACAGTTTCTGCTTCATCTGCCGCGATAGAAATCGCGTTGTCGTCATCCTGCGTCCCAGCAGCGTCTTCTCCGGGGGAAGCCGCTGCGGCTGCCGCGGTCTGAGGGGCAACGTCGTTAGTCGAAGGATCCACTGTCTCGGCCATATTGATCACTAATGGCTAACGGCCGAAGATTCAATCAATTGAGACGGTAATACGCTGAGGTGAAAAAGATGAGAGCGAAGAATACAATGGCAAAGGAAGGCTGTGAAGTACCCATCGTTGGCCAAGGGCGACCTTCCCTTTTGTAGGTAGTCGCCCCCGGTTTCTATCGTCGGCCCTGCGCAGCAACATGGACATGCGAGAGAGGCCTTTTCGAGGTTCTAGGTACGGATCACAAATTATGTGCCTCTTCCATGCATTCTATGTGGATTTCGACTGCATGTCATTTGGATGTTGCGATTCGCCCTTAAACGGGGGGATGCGTTTCCAGACCCAGATTCTTCCTTGGCAAGCATGCCAAACCAATCGTCGTTGCGAATCGCCACCTAGTCGAGATCCATGTGGTCTGAGAGTCACAACATAATGCAGGATTTTATTTTGCAGGCCCCTCAATTCACACCATTTAGGTTACATACCCGGCTTCGCGTTGTCCACGCATTGTCCTAATTCGGAATCGGCCGCAACACAACGATTGGTGCGATGAACATCCAAGTCATTATCAACGTGTCAATTCAATTCTCACAAAAGTAGCATGATGGGCTTGGCCTTTCCGCAATATTTCTGGGTGTTGAATCACTTCGCTGTATGCCTCAGCTGAAACTGTTTTCACGCACGCTGTATTTGGATACCAGAATCAACCGTATCCCTGTTAATCCCTAGAGATGACTTGGATGGTTTTCTTGAGATCAGATTCCGATTCACTGTGACCAGGTTAGACGATTGCTCTCGATGACAATAATACTATCACACTTCAGTGCCGTATTTACCTAGAACATCCGTCACCATTCGCGATGTCATGGAGAGTTGATGTGCGCCGAGACGTTACTACTACTAATAACACGTCCATGTTTTACGATTCGGCCGTAGATGATGACGTGCAGAGCTGGCGGAGTATCGAACGTGCCCAACGGATACGAAATAACGTAGACTTGCATACGGTGCATAAGGTAATCATCATGAAAGCTCCTCAGCTCTAAGACAATTGTTATTTTCCCAGTTCCTGGGCGTTTGTAATCCCCACAAGGTAAATGACATTAAGACCCGTTTCATTTTTCTTCAACAACCCGTGAGCGCACTGAATAAGAATAAGGGTCTTGTTAGTGGTTTCAGTGCCATGTGTTTTTGGTTTTTAATTCTTCGAGCTTTGGGTTTATGGGTTTATGAGTTTTGCAGGCTACCGCCTACGGGCACAACTCACCGACTTCCCCTAAAATAGCACTACCATCGTAAAATACAACGTCCTGACGATATTCCCTTTTCAACAACAACCCCATGCCAGTTCGTTCCTCAGATTCTGGTGGTGAGCCCGATTCGACATGGATAGTATCCACTTGGATTTGCAGCTCCTCCGCGACTGACTAAATAGACATGGTCATTGTCAATCTTAGGCGCAGGCTGAGGCCCCATCTCGCCGTACGCAGGTTTGAAGTCAAACTCTCTCGCCGTCATAGCGCAGACCATTTTGATCTCAGTCAATGCCATCTCTTGCCCAATACATGCTCGTGGTCCACGTTCAAACGGGCGCCAGCCATTGGCCGGAGGCTGAAGTGGGTCGTCTTTAGTCTTTTCCAAGAAGCGCTCGGGTATGAACTCATGGGGCCTCTCCCAGTAGCGTGGGTTGTGATGGATGCCGTGGTGGATTGCCATGCACACAATCCTATCGGTGGGCAGAGCTAAAGTACCTCCTCCGACCCCACCGTTGACTTTCGAATTTGGCGATTCTATCACGATGTGGAAGTCAGGGTTTCCATACCTCGAGGTTGCGCCGGGCGGGTAGAACCGCAACGACTCCTTGATCACGGCCGTAGTGTAAGGGAGAAGGTTGAGCAGCTTGGGATTGGCTGCTATCAACTTTGGCGCCGCAGAGACATCTGGACCCAAGACCTCGTCATGTTCCGCACGAACCCGCGCAAGAACATCTGGATGCTTTGAAAGAAGGTGAGTCATAAAGACTATTGACGAACCGGTGGTATCATATCCCGCAAGCATCATGAATTTGATTTGGGAGCGGATGACCTTGGGAAGTACCTTGACATGTACCGGATCTTGCGGGATGTTGGCCGTGTCCAACACCGAGATTGCTCCAGTCTTATCTCGCATACCAGGTCTCGGCTTTTGGGACAGCACTTTGTCGATGTAAGTGTCCATGCGGCGGGCGTTGTACCATTGCATAAATGGACGAAGGATGTTGAGGTCCTTTAGAGGTGAAGTTCCATAGTAGTGAAGCCAGCTCAGCTGCGAAGCTAAAGCCGCAGAAAACTCATTGTATCCGGTCTGACTGTGCAGCTCATGATCCCAGATCGATTTGCTGGAGAGGTCCATGGTGAGATCGAGCGCCATTGGGCTCAGGTGAAACGGTTTGTCACCCCTTATTGCCTGCTGACGAAGACGTTCGCAAAAGACGCTGACCATCTCGACCATGTTCGGCACCAAAGCAGCGATGTTCGAAACACGGAAGCCGGGGCTGAAGACGTTATGCCAGAATTTCCACTCGTCGCCCTCCATCGTGTCCAAGTCGTGGCCTCCGGTCAAAGGTGTGAGGAACTCATGTTGGCCTGGATCCTTTGGTAGCGCTACACCTTGACTGATTTGACGTGCTGCATCCGGGGACAGGAGGACAAGCATCGGCTTCGAGAAGGGCCACTGGTCGAGATAGAACGCTTGGTCCAGATGAGGGTACCGTCGGCGGAAGTATTCGCCAAGAGCCACTGTAGGCATGAGGTCGGGCGGGAGATCCTTCATGACGCTCGCAATGACACCAAGATGACCCCAGATAGGGTGATGAGGGGGCATTGGGTAGCCGAGGCGCTGAAGCCGTCGAAAGAGGCTGCGCGCTCTGTACATGGAGTACGCGCCATACATTAGAGCCAAAAATGGGACTATGGCTAGAAGTCGCCATTTTTCCGACGTTTTGTTAAGTTCCATTCTGGCGGAGGGGCTTCTGAATCCTGATGCGGGGAGGTGACTTAATGTTTAGCTGGTGATGTTGTCGAGATGGTTGGGGTGAAGATTATCAGCTTTTGCTCTCTCTGTCTGATGGGCGGCAGCCATTTCCAAAATCTCGGGTTCGGTTCCCCCTTCCCCGCGTTCGTTCCTCGTTTGGATGGGGAGACGCGTTGCCCAATGCGATGTGCAGGCCAATTGCCGACGTCCGTTGTTAAGTTCATCTCAAAGAAACCCCGCCCTTTTGATGCGACTCAGAAAACTCAAATTCCATCGTCACTGGACCAGCTCACATCGATACCATGTTGTTCGTATTCGGCAGGATATCCGGGTCACCCCGAGTATCAACGTTTGTCTCTAGCGTAAGCTATTCCTTATTTATTATGCTTAGCTTCTATGTGTAATGCATATTTATTCCGCCAGTGTCTGCGACCGGCAACCATTTCGAAAACAAAGCCTTGGTTGGGGAATTGAGGATGGCTGAGACTTGCCCGTGGTGTTATGATCTCTACAAGTCAACATGCTAAAAATCATTTTAGAGCCGTATCAACTGAACGGACCGCCTATTCATGATCACCTACATCGAAAGACTGAAGAGCCGGATTACAAGACCTTTAGTCTTATGTTCGGGAGGATAAGGATAAAACGGTTAATCATAGAGCCAGCAAAACCGACAGGAAGGACGACAACGATGATGATACTTAGGCACAGAGGGGTAATTGGCAGGGTAAAATGCTACAGTAGGTAGTTCTCTGCCATCTGGTTAAGAGACTTTCTACCGTATGGGAACGTTCATACCATGCTTGAAAATAGGATCCCTTCTGAGGTCGGTCGCTATTCGCAGCTTTCCGATGGCGTGTTACGTCTGGCAATCTTGAGGTGCTTAGACCAGCCACCGGGGCTGGTGCATTGAAATCATTCGAACAGATTCACACAAAGGTAACTGAGAAGAACGACATTATGAATTTGAAACTCATTGTCTGAGTCTACCTACCTATGGTGATGTTTTTAAACGGCTGAAACGTTGAATCATCAACGTGTGTTCTTGACGTAATTCAGCGGACTTTGGGTCTGCATTATGTCACTAATCAGATCGCGAGCGCAATAAATAGTCTTCGACTGCTTTTATATAGATGAGCCGTGAAAAAATGAATGGCTGATCTTCCTGATTTCTTGGAAGATAAACAAAACTGTTTTGGCGATGAAACTTGGTGTAACATTTTGATGATCTGTCTCGGGACCTCTGATAGGCCGAAATAGATGGATCTCCGCGCTATGAAGCTCGATACGAGTCCATCGCCGTTGCGCCCCTGCAAGCCAAGACACCTACTCCCAAAAAGGCTGGTGAATTGCTACACCGACCAAGTCGACGAATGACAGTCGGGATCTTCAAGCGGAGAACGCCATAGTCACCTGCCATCATGATTTGATATATCATACTCCTGCAGAACTTCCCCAGCCAGAGTTTCCCCTCCCGTCTGACTTCACACTCAATAACGACAATATGAAAACTTCCATCCACATTCTCGCAATAATATCAGCGTAAGATTCCGTGCAGAATATCCCTATGGCATGCCGCTGACAACACTAGGGCGGTGCCGATCGTGGCTCAAGCATCGTCCGACGTCATATCTGACACCACTGTCCTACGTACTATCACTTCGTCGCCTGTATCACCACAGACTGGGTGTCCGACTGCGACAGATACGCTTGAGATATGCTCAACGTGCATGGTTCTTCAATGCATCACGATTTCCACCCTGACTCACGGCTGCGGATGCCCGGCGCCAGTACCCACTGAGTATGTCAGTTTTCCTTGCAAGGGAACGTGTGGCCGAATCGGGTGTAGCACCAGCTACACCTTCATCTCCGGTGAAGTGGCATGCGATGGCACTCAGAGTGGGAGCGCAGCGCAGCGCACCACCACATCGACAATCGGACTGGGTACTGTAACGACGACAGCAGATGCAACTGGTGAAACGGGACAGTCGACGGGAAGT